CACTAGTGCCCAAGACTCGCATTCACTATGTACCCGCGCCTGGACACTTCATTAACCATGGTCCCGTGGTGCCATTTGTAAGTCATGCCCATTGCACCTAACCCTTACTGGGCACATGGCAGGCTCTGTTAATACTAGCAAATTGAACACAATGGCTCTCTCTTGGCCACCTGCCTAAAACATGGAATAAATATTTATTTCACAAAGCTTATGAGCTCCAAGGAACACTCATGCCAGAGGCAGACTCCTCTCCTTAGGATACAGTAATTCCCACCCTACGCTTCCTTAGGACCTCTTTTTCCTGCAGGACTTGGTCGTCCAAGACCAAGTGGTTTCTGGACTGGGCTCCAAGGTGCACTCCCAGAAATCAAGTCAGGCCTACCGTCCCTACCTACTGGGAATTTTCTCCCGCTTCCCCTCAGCGCTGCCTGAGGGCTGGTCAGCAGCGTTTACACACTTGGGGGTACATGCAGGTTCTCTGTGCCCCACTGCCCTGGGAACCACCAATTCAGGACGCCACGCACTCTCTGGACAGGAGAAAAATTAATGATCCTGAACTCTGTGGTGTTTGTTACCCAGCCTGAAGGATATTTTGCGGTGCTGATATAAACTGTTCAGAAAAGAGGCGTGCATGCATGAGTGTGTGAGGGCCACAGGAGTTACTTCCCAGGCAATTCCTGGAAAAAGTTCTGCTTCTCCTCCCATTCCCTGGCTGTGTGTTTTGAGTTCAGAAGAGTCCAAAGCGAAGAGATAAGACCTGGGAACAGCTCTCTTTGTGTCCCAGAGAGAGGAATGGCCCTTGGTCAGCAGCTGACTGAAATCAGCATCCTGCACCCAATTCCAGCTGCAGTTTAGAGATCCCTTTCCTCATCAGCCTCTCTCTAAGCGCTGATACCACTTATCTGGATGGAGTCAGACGAAATAAAAGGAGTAAATGGACCTGAGGGACTGAGGACACTGTCGAGGGCAAGCCCTTCTCCACACGGGAATCGCTTTTGGAAGCAGTCCCTGTCACAAATACAAGTGCAGGCACACACGCATGCACACATGCCTGCATGCAGCTTTTCTTTTTTTTTTTGGAGAGGTTTTTTCCTATAGGGCGCATGTGCTCATCAGAAAGAAAGAGAGAGACAGAGAGACAGAAAGTGAGAAATCACCCCCCAGGGGGGATGGCCACGCATCAATCCCTTCTCCTCTCGGGATCTTGGGCACACACGCACACGTGCCCAGCTTGAGTTTAAGCCACTGGGTCCAGGACTCTAACCGTGGTTGACTATGTGGGAGTCCAGTGACCTAGCCATTATGCCAACTGCTGGTC